GCTATTGTTTTCATTTATTTGGGTCATGTCCCGATTTTTATTTTCTTCAGTTAATTTGTTTGAGTTGTACTGTTATTTGTTCACACTCGTGACACGAATTGCTCGATGCGGAGGTGATCCACGCAAAGATCGTGATAAACTTATATTATACATATTTTCAAGTTTGTTTCCGATAAGAATTCAATTACGCTCAATTGTTTTTCTGCAATTCACAACGTTACCACTCCCTCATCAGTCCCCTCTCCTTTAGAACTCAACCGCAGATGAGTGAAAGGGGCGGATAACACTCATCTAAAGTAGATCATCAACTCCCCAACCAACATACTCTGGCTAACATAAAAATTATAAGGCCATTAAAAAAATGTTTATTTTATATTTTATAAATAGGTGATTAAATATTATTTTTTGTCACTGGCACTCTCAACACGACAGACAAGAATGACACTACACGGACAACAAACACTTTGAGTGAGTACAAAAACTTTTAATTGAATCTAAAATTTTCCAGCATTGTATTAATTCATTTTTCCCCCTTTTAATTTAAAATTTTCTAGCATTGTATAAATTCATATTTTTTTCTTACCTCCTACATGTATTTGTAAAATTGAAACAATGTTTATAAATCCCCAGGCCCTGAAGATGATCTCAATAAAGATCGAAACGTTGGCACGATAAAGAAAATGTTTTTCTAAAACCTACTTCACACAAGACCGCATCTCATGATCTCTGAATAATCATTATTTTTTGTTTAATATTTTATGACTGTGCAATTAACTTTCTCAAGTTACTTTTTCTTTTTTCCTTCTTTAACGTAAAATTTAAATTTTTGTTTTTTTACATGGACAAATTTTTTTGACATTTTTTGGGAGGCATTTTCACGTTGAAATAAATAAATAAAACCGTATAGCAGCACTAAGTGCCTTCTAAGGGAACTGCGAGTGCTTCATACCGTATCGACCGCTATAATCAAATATTAAACAATTAAGAGGTATACGGAAACTATTTGTTGCAAGAAATGTGGAACTGTGAAGTCACAATTGGGATAACGAACAGTTTGCCAATAAAACTTAAATCGAAACACATTAGTACTACGAATCAATGGCCCTCCTGAAACTTACAAACGGTGTAATTTAGTAATGGCTCTCATAATGCAGGAAACAATCAACGAAGAACTAAATATTATGCCACGACCAACATTACGGTGACCATTATTATATAAATTTATTTACAAAAAACGCACGTCCAAAGTACGTTGAGCAATTAAGTACTTGGACTAGATATCACAGTGTGATTTAAACGAAGGAATCAATAAGCTGTGACTACAGCTATACACGCCATACCATGTTCAGTTCCTTAAATTTTTTAATCCTTTAGAACCTTCGATTAAATACTGCCTACAATTATCAACCCGTCGATTGATGATTGTCCAAAAGTTGTCGTGTAGATGTAGCAAATGTGGAATAAACTGTTTTGAAAAATATAGAATCCGCTGTTTGTCGGTTGTGGCATGTTATTAAATATGATGTAGGGACGTATATATAAATAGTACAGGGGAGGATTCAGAAGAGAACGATCCAGTTAACTCGTCTGGCTCTATTTCAATTGGAAAGAAATAAGCTGCACTCCTCAAGTGTATTTTACAATAATAAACTATCAAATCAATTAAATTCGTAGAAACGGCCAATTTTTAATATTGATTTCATATTTTCTTTCTTTCCCTCTTTAATTTACTTACTCGTTGAGAAATTTCCTTTTATTTTAATTAAATTTATTTCGATATATTATACACTACACTGAGGTGAAACAGCACAAGTTGTTTTGATTATTCGTTCTCGCGAAGTTGCGAAGTAGAGTGCCGTGTTCTGCAATGCTGAACGACTTCCTGCAGCAGCGCACGGCTGGAAACTGAAGCCGAGTGCCGAGTACCGAGGACGGACTTGCGACGGGACGTAGATGAAGCGCATGCCCACTTCTAGCCTTGCCCCTCCGATTCCAATCCCCCTGACACACATTAACGAAGCCTACTGTTTTCTGTTTTCTGTTTTCACTCCTTTCGCCTACCTGAATCCTCAATCCTCAATCATCCTTTAGCCTGAAACGCAGTATGCCACTCCTTCAACTCCGTCCAGCTGATTTGTTTCAAAAAAGGATTTTTTTGAAAACCTTGACATTTACAATCCGATTATGTTTCCATATCAATATAATCCTAATGATCACAATATACAATAACTACTATATCAAAATAAAAAATTTACCACATACCTATTCTCCATGAATATGGGGAAGAAATGTGTTCGATTTTAATGAAACACTTTTAACTACAACTAAATAGTACTGCATTTACAAAAAATGAACAACAGTAAATTTATTAAATATTTAGGCGTACCAAAATGTTTTTTTATGCCTGTATGAAACTCTGAATGTTGGGAGTTTTGATTAACAAAAACAACCGGCCTTATTTCAAAGTCTTACGGTTTTACTCTTCAGAATATCTGGAGTTCAGAAATGATTGGATTTCAGCAATTACATAGAATCAACATCACAGTTCCAAAAAAGACAGTGGATAAACTCTAACAGTACAGTAAGCCTGTGGTAATCCTCACCAATACTGGCAAACTGAGTGCTAAAGTTAGAGAGGGCTAAGCTCAGAGGAACGATAGAATTAATACTCGCATCTGAGAAAACCACACAACATGGGCATATTCAACGATGACCCCCATTTGTATGTCAACCACTCAATGGAGAGATAATATGGGATACAAAGAAAACCCAGGGAAAGGATTGTAGCAACGACATATTTTAGTATGTCGATTTATATTTTGTTTTTAAATTGTAAGTGTGTAATGTAATGTAAGTGTACAGACCAGGTACATGACCTAAGGATTTACAATAATTTATCCTTTCAGAGTGAAAAAGTAATACTACTTTTTAGTAATTCTACTTAAATACTTAATAATCTTTTCTTGTAGATTTTTTCCGAATAATGTTCACCTCCCGCAAAAATTGAATGCCATAAGTTATAATGATTATTTGGAGATCGTGAGATGCAGTCTGGTGTGAAGTAGGTATAGAACAACAACAATATTTTATCTCAACTAAAAACCTTAATTAATTGTAAGATGATGTTTGTAGATCGACCTGCAGATAATCAATGTAGAGTTCAATATCTTCTTTAAGGTCTTAATAATCAATGTAGAGTTCAATATCTTCTTTAAGGTCTTAAGACCTTAAAGAAGATATTGAACTCTGCATTAATTGTAAGATAGTAATTGGTCGAGGGGACCACGAAACTAGTGAATGTATAGAACAACTAATTAAGGTTTTTAGTTGAGATAAAAAAGTCAATGGCACGAGCGGGATTCGAACCCACGATCTTCGGCTTGATACGCAGTATAGAACAACATTTTCTTTATTGTGCCAATGTTTCGATCTATATTGATATCATCTTCAAGGCCTGGGATTACATTATTTAAAACATTATTTAAATTATACAAAACATGTAAGATGTGAAAAAATGAATTTATACAATGTTGGAAATTTTAGACTAAAAATATTTGTACTCACTCAGTATTTGTTTTCTGTGTAACACTTTGACTAAGCACAATGACTTTGATTCTAAAATTTCTATCATTGTATATATTCATTTTTTCATATCTTACATGTTTGTATAATTTACACAATGCTTATAAATCCCAGGTCCTGAAGATGATCTCAATAAAGATTGAAACGTTGGCACGATAAAGAAATTGTTTTTCTAAATAATCATTAATTAACGGTCACTCAATATCACACATAAGTTATAATGCTTTAAAATAGGCCCATGTACATAATTATTAGGAAATTTATTCTGTTTTTAAGTTTATAAAATTTTAGAGTTTTGTATTGACTACATCAATATATATGTTCATTGTAGCCTGCTGTCAGTAATAAAACATATAAATTTTACACATTCATTTAAGTTTTATAAGCTTAATAAAATGGAATGGTTTTTGGTTGTTGGTCTGAACCAACAAAAATCAGTGAGGATAGGCAGACCAAGATAATAGGTAATTATCAAACAATAGGTTTATCACCCTGCAGACCACAAGAGGAAATCTCACTATTTATTTTCTACCTTGTAGAAAACTGTGACAAAATTCTGGGACTGCACCTCTTATAAAATAGTAAGAGAATTTAGACAATGAAATTTCGTGCTGGACAATGTCATAGTTATCCCTAGTTATTTATTTATCACTTAGTCATAGTTTTATTATCATATGCCTATTGAAAATCCTGAGAATTTAGATTACTTATAACATATTTTCAATTTCGGCTTTAGTTTGTCATTAAAAAAATAAAATAACACTAAAACAAGCATATATGTACTTGTATTATACTAAACATATTGTGCTTGTATTAGTGCAAGTTAATTTTGTATAGATAAAATGTATTTTTATCTTATTTTACTTTTCCCATTCTCTACAAATAAAACTTTATTATTATTTATTATTTATTAGTTATATAAGAATATTTTGGTTTGCAAGAAATATAATATTTCATTAATTTAATATATTCTATGAATGTAAAAAAATAAATAAAGAAATTCCTATCACAGATGAATGCTTAGCATTGAGTATCATGGACAAGGGACACTTCACAATATTTTCATACTATTCTCAATTAAAAGAGTCCATGGGCTGAGTCGGGAGGGATTCGTACCCAGGAATGGCAAATACAAGTTGGACTCCTTAACTATTCAACCGCTGAGTCCCCAGTATATAATAAGAATGCATTTTTATGGTTTGTACATACATATAAGGTTTTTTTTTATTTTATTTTTTATTTTATTTTTAAAGCCTTCTTCAACTCAAGATGAGATATAACAGGTATAAGTTTTTCTTGCTATAGATCATTGAAACAGTCACACTCAAAAAAAAAAGAAAAGAAAGGATGGTGAAAGGAAGTTTTGGACCATAGTCTATTATTACTATTATTTGAAAGTAGGTGCTGATGAATGCAAATTTTTATCTTGCAAATATAAATCTTTTATTATATTTAAAATATGAACATAATAAAAATTACACTAAGTTAGGATCTTAGTATTCTTTGTTAAAACCAATTAAATAATATAGAAACCATAATATTGTTAATGATATTTCATGAAAGTAAATATAATTTTGCAATGATTATGGTCTGTCTCTCTTATAGCATGAATAATTTATTTAAAGAATTGTATTGATTATTTTTAGCCGTTTTAGTCTTTCAAGCGTTGAAATTTATAGTTGAACTGTGCTAGTGTTATTTGTTTGTAATATATATCATGCTGAAATAATATGTATCAGTTGATTTGAACATGAATTCCTTGTATAGAATGTATAAAACAACATCACGAATAAGTTGGTTTAAGGTTTCTAACAGAAATTTGCTCAAATAGTGCTTCTTCCTCGATCCGTGCTTCCATTGACATAACGGTAATGACAGTTTCAGGAAGTAACATGTGGAAACCATTTTTGGAGAAATGAAAATTCACCTTCTCATCGGTTGACTCCAACCACACAAAAAGGGCAATTTTGTCTGTCTGGAGTGTAATCTCTGCGGTGTTGTCTGTTGTTTTATAAATGCTTTTAATCTAAAAATTATACACATGTTATACTCAATTAAAGTTATGTAAATTGTCAAAAACGCATACGGTAACAGTGGCGTCTGGAAAATTTGAATTTTTCGGTGGCACGGGGAAAAGGAAATTGTCCGGGACAGAAACAAATGGAATCACGTCCATTTTAAAAATGAGAAAGCTATTGCTGAAATTGTCATAGTCACCCAAGATGTCCAACAGAAATTTGTCCAACACTTTCACTGACATTCCTCCATCCTAAAAAAGAGAAAAGAATAAACTTTACAAATTTCAAAAATTTACAAATTTCGAATTTCTCAACTGAAGACTTACTATCTGAATTGGCATTTTAATTATATTTTTCGGCTCAAATGCATCCCAATTGTAGACATAGATTTTAAGAGTTCCATTCAGTTGATGAGTGAGATCAGATACCACACTAACTACAAGATTATCAGCTGCTGTTCTTGCTGGACTGATGATGACATTGGAGAAGAAGTCTCTTGTGTAATAATGCAACATCTTCCAGTTTCCATAAAAATCTACATAATTATTCACACTAAATGTTAATAACAAATTACAATTAATTAAGGTTTTTAGTTGAGATAAAAAAGTCGGTGGCAAGAGCGGGATTCGAACCCACGATCTTCAGCTTGATACGCCGCTGCTCTACCACTTGAGCTATCATGACCTCAATCGGACACCAACTTCCCATCTCAACCCTACCTTTTGAATTAATTGGTCAAGCGGACCATGAAATTAGTGAATTTAATGAATTTAAATGAAATATACTTCACTAAAGCTCTCTGTGGCCATTTCATTTGTCGCCGAGAATTCAATCCGATTACACGACATTTGAAAAATAGCAAAAAGGAGGGAAAAGTCAAAAGGCGGGGTTGAGATGGGAAGTTGGTGTTTGAGTGGATTGAGGTCACGATAGCTCAAGTGGTAGAGCAGCGGCGTATCAAGCCAAACATTGTGGGTTCGAATCCCGCTTGTGCCATTGACTTTTTTATCTCAACTAAAAACCTTAATTAATTGTAATATATTAGTTGGTCAAGTGGACCACGAAATTAGTGAAGTTAATAACAAAGTAAATAGTGGGAATTTCTTTGCTGGAATAAAATTTAATCATTGCGTACCATACAGTGCAAAGAGGCAACAAGGAAGCAGATAAATTGGCCAGGGGAAGTTCAAAAAGGGCAATCACTCCTAAACTCTTTTGCAGCATGTCAAATTTCCAAAATCCTTTATCCATCAGACAATGAGTTGAAATTAAGTCCTTGGTTCAGTGGGAATGTATTCCAGGGCTAAGGCATGCAAAAAGGTTTGGTAAAGGGCTATCGACTTTTAAACCTAGGACTAGAACAATAACAGAACTACTGACTAGACATGCCAACTTCGGTGACATCTGTGTAGACTTGGAGGAGTATAAACAAGCCTGGCCAGATATTGCCAAGAAGAAGAAGAAACAACAATGTTTTCAATGCTGCGAAGGACTATGCAACGCTGAGATTCTTACTCCTGGAAGAGGAAAAACTTAAGGAAAAAGGAATGAGGATACACAAAGTTTTGGGATGTGGTAAAAAGCCTTAAGCTTAATGAAGAAAACTAAGCAATGATGGAAATTGCAACAGACGTACAATATTGATTGTGGTGCGCAAGATTGTACAGTGGCTGAATCCTTTTAACCTCATTAATTTAATTTCATTATTTAATTAATCATTACACATAAAATTACCAATAGATGACCAGGAAGGTGCTTCCCAAATATCATTCAATTGCCAATAAAGTGCGCCCATCGTAAGCCCTGCCCCTGTAGGTTCTAGTACACTTCTAAGACTCCTGTAAAGCTCAGTTTCTGTCTTCATTGCCATTGCTTGATTGATCTAAAAATGTTTTCATAAATTAATTTTAATTAAAATAAAAAAGGACGATAACTTGTTAAAGTCTCACTTGTGATAAATATATGACATCGGACAGGTTGAAAGCCTTTGGCAGATTTTGATCAATCTGTAATTGAAGAATGTCATTCCCAACTGGCAAATGCTGCCTTTCATTGAGTGCATTCGACCCCCACATTAAGTCTTCTTTATCAAAGACTTTCTTAAGCGTACTCATAGCAGGCAGGGACTGTAAACCGTACTCTGACGAGAACCTAGGGTGCGGAAAGACGTCCGCAAGCCATAAATTTGTATAATAGTTGTAGAAATGGACTGAAACAAAAGAAAATAAATGTGTATAACAAAAACAATTGCAATTTTACAAAACAGCATAATGTAATTATAGCACAGTCTGTGCGCATGAGTTTCAGGGTTTTTTGTTGGGCTATTTGAAGATTTAGTCTCCTTCAGTTGAAAAACTGAGGAAATTTTAGTTATAACTAAAAATTATAAAGGTATATTAACATAACACACAAAGGATTAAATCCAACCAAATCCAAAGAATGGAATAATTGTAAAAAAAAGTTTTCAGACATCTCTCGCCTAACCATTTTTTTAAAACTAAACTTTTTTTTTGTGGGGGGAATAAGGATTTTAAAAATCCTTTCCTCCATTCTGACCTATATTGGTCTTATTGGGGAACCCATATGAATTATTGCCATACCTTGGAAACTAAGCTTTTTGCTATAAAACTAAGGAATTTCCTTGGATCTTCTTTGCATACATCTTTTGGTGTGAGAATTGCCTTACCAAAGTGACTATATCATAACTGGGCTAATGCTTCACATTCATAAAAGATATGTGTCAATGTATGTCCTTCTGACAGTCAGCAAAGTTCTGTCTCTGCTTTGCCCATCTTCTTTATGTTGTAGTTAAGAGAGCAGAGGCCTATAATTTTTCTTAAATCCTGCCTGCTGAAAGAGGAGTTCCTTCATTTTCCTTTATGAGAGATTTAAAAATCTCTTAGCTTGCCTCCGACCAGATGTTTTGTCCGGTGCTTGAGTTTTTTTTTCTCGTCATTTTTTCCAGTTCCAATTATGCACACACTCCAGTGCACCTAGTTGTGATTCTGGTCTCACGGGTGAGAAGGCTGCCTCTTTTTTGGCTAGTTGGTCAGCCTGTTCATTTCCTCTACACCTCATGTCCTGGAACCCACTTTAAAGTAAGATGTAATTTTTGGGGTGAGTAATATTATTAGCCCATTATTTGTGAGTAATTTAGCCCATTGTATACTTAATTTGTTTAATTTAATAATTCGGCACCATCTTTGAGCTAATGATGCTGGAGCTAAGTGCTCTGATTGCTGTCCTCTAAAGTAATCTTATTTTCCTAGAGCCATTAGGCAATTTAGGCACAAGTTTGAAGTTGAAAGCATACACATTTAGTGCCTTTATAGCCGCTGACTGTCATCAACCCTAGCAATTTTAGACTGTCTAAAATGAAAATTAAAATGAATTGCTTGCTGATTCCTTCACTATTCTCCATTTATAGGAATAATGTGATAAAGTAATGCATAAATGTGCTGTTGGTGGGATGTTAATTGAATATTTATTTATCTTACGTCAATTTGATAAAAAAAGTTTTTCTAAAAAAATTATATAATACAGTTTTTTAAAGATTTAAGTAAAGCTGTTTTATCAATGATTAATGAATATTATAAAAATATAAAATATATAGAAGCAAAAACCAACAAACACACAAAACAACAGTAAAAGTGAACAAGAGAAGGGCACAAAATAGCGAGAATTTGAGAGAAATAAAATATAATCTAAATTCTCATCCATATCCAACAAAAAGAAAAGCAAGAAATATAATTTTGTATTCGGGTTGAAAGGGTTTTTGGTGGGGCAGTGGTTGTACGTGGTGCTTGACAAGTCTGCCCAATTGGACCGCTAGTTGTCAGTTGCTGATTGTCCAACTCCTAACGAGGAGGTTAAAAGTTTTTACTTTCGAGTTCTAAGTGACATTTACATTTGACACAAAGTTTTTGGGCATCGGTTGGGATGGTGTACCTTCACATACCACCCAGTTTCACAGAGGAAGAGATTATGCTACAGACGAAATATGCTAAGCTCAAACGAAAAGTACGAGAATAGAATGTTGTAACAGAAACCAAAAAAAACAATTCATTTTTAAATGTTGCATTTTGAATTTGTAAAAATTAGATTTAATTGTAATTTTATTTAATAAAATAACATTGTTTAATACTGTAAATGATGATTTTTATTTATTTTTCGGCGAGAAAGGTGAAATATCCTGTATTTAATTATATGAGATATTGAACGCTTTTTTTTCTCATGTATACAGATTTTGTAAACCTGGAACGGTATATTTTTTCAATGTTAGATATATGAACCACTTTTTTACTTACGAACACTGGATCAAGTTATGGTCTTAAAGAATAAAGCAAATTCAATTGTTACTGCCAAGTTTTTGACTTTTTTTAAGGTCATTATCAGGGCAAAACAGTCTTAAGTATGTCTACAGATAGACATATTTAAGAAACGTTTTGTCCTGATAACCTTAAAATAGGTAAAAAGCTTTGCAGTTACAACTGAATTTCATTTTTTCTTCAAGATCACAATCCTGAGACTTCGTCATATAATTTTTTGCCGTTTACAAAGCAGAAAAATATGAGAACCACTAGCCAAATAATTATTTGTATCATGATCTAACACCGGGTCAGATTTTTATCTGACAAACTGTGGTGAGGTTTGTAGGTGATGAACTTGTAACTTTAATCCTCCCCGGTCATAACGATTTGCCTAATTTGGCTATCAAGGTTGGCCTGTATGTCACCTAATATATTCGTTTCATAAAATTTGAAAGAGGTCACGATTGATAGAATTATACAAAGACCAACCACTGACAAAATAAAAGTATAGGTGAAGCAGGATGGACTGATGATCAATCAGCTCTCAATCTTTTTTTGACTTTTTTATTTATAATTTAAGATTCAATTTTATATTCTAATGCAAAAAAATACTGAGGAATTATTTTTAAAAAATGTTTATTTTGAACTATATGTATGTATTTTTAGTTATATTAATTCTAACATACTTAGAATAATGTAACGTTTAATGAAAACCAAATTAAACAAGATCAGAAATTCATGTTTTAATAAAAATATTTAATTATGATGGTTTGAAAGGAAATTCACCAAAATATCGGAAAATTATTTAGTGATAGAATAAAATTTAACTAACAACTTATTTTATCACTAAATGGTTTCCGGGTGTTTTAATTAATTTTCTTTCAAACCATCATAATTAAATAATTTTGATTAAAAGTCATGAATTTTTTATCTCAATTAATTTGGTTTACATTAAGCAAATTTGTTGGAATTAATATAACCATAAAAACACATATAGTTTGAAATGAACAATAAAATATGTCTGGTTTTGTTTTATTTTATTTTTTGTGTCTGAGTGTATTTATAAACATATTTGAACCAAAGAACATGATTAAACTGTCACATGAATTATAAAAGAAGTAGTAAAATTACTTTAATCAGATACTGTTTTATTTAGTTTTTTCTTAACCTTAAAAAGAAGTAAATTAAAAGTAGTATACAATATTGTATAGAATTTTTAATTGTTCACAAGGTAAATATTTATGATATTTTCTTTTCCAGAAAAAAGCCCTTCAGAGTTTAAAAGCTCCTAGGCAGGAGTCGGAGAGAACGATGCCTATAAAGAAGACGCAGGTAGAGGGACGTGATGCCAGGGAAATAGCGAAGAAACTGATCAAAAGTGGAGCTATTGCTGCGATTAAAAAAGCTCCGAAAAGGGAAGAGATGAGTGGTTTTAAACGGCCTGCAGGTTTGGAAAGGAGGTATCACTGATAAACCAGCAATTTTTAACTTATTTGAATGTGAAATTAAATTTTTTGTCGGTAGATTAGAGAGAAGCACAATTAGTGGGTATCAGCCTTTCAGCGGTAACAACGATGAACCTCGTCCAAAAGCCAAAGTAATTTTACCAGCTTTTGAAATATTTACAAGTATAGATTTTGTATATGCAATGTTTTAGAAACTTTATGATTCACTTATGAAAAATATGGAGGAAGACGAGCCAATTGTAAAACCTTTGGTTCAAGAAAAACCTGTTGGAGGAAACACAGTCTTTGTTCAGGGTGGAGACATTTCAGAAACGATGCTGAGAAAAGTCTTTTCAGAATTCGGTACCATCATTAATATAAACATGGAAGTTGAAAAAAGGCAAGTTTTTAAATAGGAACTTTTACATTCAAGATAACAGTATTAATTGAGTTTTGTATCAGACGTGGCTTTGTAACATTTGACGATGCACAAGCAGCAGCAGCTGCAATTGAAAGAGTAAGTTAAATAATGATAGAATAGGCAAACTAAAATTTAATTTCATAAAAATCACTTTTGGTCTGCTTAGCTTGACGGCAAAGTTGTTCACATGTCTCAACTTTCAGTGAGTTATGCACGAAGGCAGCTTATTTACAATACAAGTGCAGAAACTACTAAGAATTCCAAACTCTGGGCCAGCGCAGGTTGGACTCAAATCATTTTTTTTTTTCAAGATTATTGACAGTTTATGTTTTACAGCCTGCCGGAAAAATGAGAAAGGTGCCCAGAGGGAGCAGAATGAAAGAGAAGTTATTAAATATGATAATTTTTTCGATTAGTTACCAACTAATAGGGACCAATATGGAGGATTTTATAAAAAAATAATAGATATATATTAATTTTTAATGATAAGTTGGATGATTGTTTTGGAGTTGAAAAATCCACATTGACTAATTCCAAAAACTAATTATTAATTAAGAGCCTGTCTGTTCTCACTGTGTGTAAGTAGCCTAAATTTGTTTTAAAGTCAATACTAAAACTATTGAGAGCAGAGCATTTAATTAAATTCTCTACAATTTATGTGCAATTATATTATGAAATTTCAATTGAATTTTATTTTGTTAAGAACAATATTGTTAACTTTATTGTAATAAAAATTTTAGTTTTTTTTTTTAATATAGTGAAACAATTATCCATACATACTTTATGAACTTAATGAAAAAGTGGTATATGAAATCAGAAGTTGGAGCGTTTTGCAAACTAATGGGAATATAAATCTTTTATTATAAAAAAGTTTTCTTCAGTTGGATGGAGTGTCACAAGCATGTTTCCATTGAACATAAAAGAAAAATTATAGAACTACCTGAATTTTAGACAAAATTATAGAACTATCTGAATTTTAGACAAAATTATAGAACTACCTGAATTTTAGACAAAATTATAGAACTACCTGAATTTTAGACAAAATTATAGAACTACCTGAATTTTAGACAAAATTATAGAATTACTTGGATGGACTGTGGACAAAATTACAGAACTACTTGAACGTTAGACAAAATTGTAGGACTGCTTGAAATTTTGGCAAAATTGGAGAACTACCTGAACTTTGGGCGAAATTATAGAACTGTTTGAACTTTTGGAAAACTTATAGAACTACAACATGCTTTAGGCAAGAATAATTTCATTTTTGCTATAATTACTGAAATAAAGTATCTTGTTACCATCGCCATACAGGTTGTTCTGAGGATTTCGAGCAACGTATCCTTCTCTTTCTGTTTCAAGGCCATTCGAAGGGCTAGATGTTAGATAAGTCACCTGTGGGTTGATTTGCTCAATGATTGGTTTGATTGAATCGACATAAAGGGTAATGTAGTCATCCTTGTATTTTTTAAATGATGAACCTGTCCCATACCTAGAAAATTCAAACTAACAGGATATATTCGATAAAAAAGACGTAGTAAACATACCAGTCCTGTCTGAGCGCAGCTTCATTTTCATTGTTTCCAGCGATAAGAACTATGCTAACGTGATGTTGCAGCCTTTGCATATTCTGTTCTACTTCAGTTTTGACACTGTTTAAGAAATCGTCAGTCGATGGGTACATACTGCATGCAAACATTAGATCTTGCCATATCATAATCCCCAGTTGATCACATACCTGTTATACAATTTTTTTTAGAAACAATTTTTTATAAAGACTAGTAAATACATTACACTGTAAAAATAGTCTGATTCATAAATTCCCCCACCCCAAACTCTCAGCATATTAAAATTTGCATCAACAGATGATTTAAGAAGCGAGTAAATTTTCTTTTTGTTTTCCAAGTTTTCAGGCAGTACATGAGAAGGGATCCAATTGCTTCCTTTGGCAAATATAGGGACTCCATTCACTTTGAAATAAAACACTTCTCCTAATCACAAAATTAAAACAATTTTATGCATGTACTTACATAAAAAGTTATAAACAAAATTACCTTTAGACAAGTCCATTGAAACTGGTTCTTGTGACAATTCAACAGTTCTAAATGCTATTTTTATTGATTTTGTAATTGTAGCACTGTTTGATGTGAAATTTGCCTTTAGTTTATAGAGAGGCTGCTTTCCAAGGCCGTTGGGCCACCAAACTTTGACTTGGTTCTTTAGGGTAAAATTGTGTAATATAAATGCAAAAATATTTCTGAAACTATTTTCTAATTAGTCATATAAAATAAACACCTTTGGCACTGACAGAACTAGTCGCTCTTCCGTTCCTACTGATACGTTGAACTTTTGGATGATATAGCTGACTCCTGGCATAATGTCCAATTTCGCAGATAAATCCCCAGTTACTTGATAGTCACCATCAAACCAGAACCTTATCGTTACTCTCCAATTCATAGGGCTTTCAGTTATAAAAGTTCCCACTGAACGCAAGAGCTTTCCTTCGTTTAACTCAATGTATACAGGTTTCCTAAACGTTTTTATTTTTTATATCTTCTCATATTGTCTGCGTTCTGAGTTTTTTTAATACCATATACCAACTGAAGGGAATGCTGGACCCCAGTCCCAAGAAAATGACGCTTGCATTTTCCTCAGTTGATTAATATGACATTCTCCATGGTAAGAAGATGGCGGACATTCCGGAACAATTTTGTACGGAATATTTTTAGAACGCCTCTTAGCTTCTTCTATAGGAGGTAAAAAGTGTACTTCTAATGAATTTTTACCAGTCTGAAATTAAAATTCCCAAACCAACTAGAAAATTTGACTTGTGATTATTTATTTACAATATATTTACTTGGATGGCATGTTTTATGTCAAAACTATATCTAATGAACATGTTGTCACACTTCCCAACCAGTTTTTTGTTGAGGTAAACTAAAGCGACTGTGTCAACACCCTCAAATGTAATGTTGATGGATTTGTGCATTAAGTTGGCAGCTTTCACTAATGAGAAAATAGTTTAATTACAATTTTAAAAGATAATTGTAACATTTTTTTTTCACTCACTGGGAAATGTAGTTGAGTAGATCCACATTGTCTTCCCGACCCAACGATAATTGATATCATTGCCCTTATGGTAAACATACTCTTTCAGTACGTTGGCATTAATTAAGTCTGAATATATCCCACCGGGGACTTTCACAGGAACTAGAATACCTTTTAAAAAGAACCATCAGATTAAATTAAAAAAAAAAAAATTAATGGAAAAAGTTAATGGATGGAAAAAATTGTATTTTAGGCCTGTGCAATAACAATTCAAACAGATCAAATTATAATTTTAATAAGCACAGAAAACTATCCATGTTGATATTACTGCCACTACATAAATACACAACAAACCTCTCAATGTTTTAATTAATTTATTGGAATTTCTAATTACTGATTTATATAAGCTCAAGTCTCTACACATATGTAAATACATACTACACCATATGTATTCAGAGCTGAGCCTATCACTTCCCTCAGTCTGCCAACAATTCCAGCTTTTGTGTTTTTTACAATAAATTACCAGCAGGCCTCGAGAATCACCCATCATGGGTGTTGACAGTCAGGGATCAGACCTCGGTCTTATCCTTCCAGACACCGATTTCAGCCCCCAACACAATCAGCCTCAAAATCCGAACCCACTCACTCGTAAATCCATTCTTCCTTATTTACAAACTATTTACTCAGGGTGGTGGAGTACTTAATATCACTCCATCGCCATCTACACATATTATATGACTAATCTAATTGAGGGTACTCAATATTCCGTCATTGATCCTCTCACACTGTATTACGCATGGTGGGCGACCAAGATCCGAGGGGTTGAATGCCTGGGTAGACTCGTACCTCATCCTCTCACACTACACATTCATACTAACAAATTCATTCAGACTCACAAAGAAACACAAAACGAGATATCTATAAAGTACAACTGAGATTGGGCGTATTAATCAAGTTCCTCGATGAACTAGGACTCACCGATGTTCTAAAAGCAGAATACAACTATCTATAAAATGTTATATAGGGTAAAACAGCCCAATTCCTCCAAAAATCGAAACAAGGAACCCAGATATGAGTTCAAGCACAATTCTCTTATCAAGTGGGAGCCCTAGGGGACCGCAGTAGCCGAGTGGTTAGCATGAGAGACTCTCACGCCGCGGTCGTGGGTTCGATTCCCACCGTCGCCTCTGGCCCTTTTTTCCCGATAACCCCCAATTTGAACAGCATATATATAAGAATTCGTCATGGCTAATATGCAAAGATCATAAGGCAAAAAAAAAAAAAAAAAAAAAAGAGCCCTACACACTCTCTATATGGAACCAAAGAATGGCACCCTTCAATTAAGTGGGACACATCGAGTAACCTTTTTCTACATGCCGGACACATTTGTGGGTTTCGGCCCAAAAGTAAGTGTCTGTTTCAACTTCACATTGCCTATTGTTAATCAGGTGAGGATGACCACTCTTCTGTGAGTCAGATCTTCTTCTGAAGGTCACCTATTGACAGTGCTCTTGATACTCATCTAACTGATGTCACTTTCGTTTAATGATGTTTTTAATGTATTTTTAATGTCAGATTGCAGTGGTTGGAACGCCTTAGCCACCTCATCTATTTTTTATTACCCTCCAGGCCTATGTGCCCGAGAACCCTGACAATGACCCATCGCTCCAATTCATGGTATATGTCTAACAATGTATTGGAATAGCTACACTTAATACCAAATATTCATACATATATGTATGTAGTATTATATTAATATATTATCACTTATCATAGAACATGATTAGTTTAGGACAGACTGAATTGAATAAACATGTGCTTGGATAGTAAGTATGATTTTATGTTTGTAAGCAATAAGTTGCTAAGACAATATATACTTACAGATGCAAACATACTTGTATGTTATTATGTGTAGTACATAAAATACATATATTATATACTGTACATAACATACAAATATGTTTGCATTAATTAAGTAAGAATAAGGAATGTTCTTGATAAACAGATTTACATGTGTATATAACTACATGTACACATTAAACATAAACACATTTACATAAATATACGTACAAGCATAGGTCATAATAGATTTCAACTAACAATAATAAATATATATGTATTAAACATCCATACATATGTGCATACACTCACAACACAAATACACTTTTATACATACTTATGTATATATTAATACATTTATATATTAACAAATAAATTAACTCCGATTGGGATATGAATTTATGCTTTTCTTTATTTGGTAGGTCTTTTTGTACATTATCATAGATGATGTATGGAAAAAATAATGTTAACATGAAGTCAGAGAAATTAATACGAAAGTCTACAAGTTGAAGGAACCTAGAAATGTGTGAATATGTTTTGATGGAATGCATTAAACATTATATTAACTATAAAAAATTAAATATAGAGCTATGAGATAGTAACTGAATATTTTTTTAATCAACTGTTAGGAAACATATGTTTCAATTAGACCATAAAAATGTTTACCCATGTATAAATAAAATTAAATAATTCTCTTAAGTGATATTAACTTTGCTTGTGATACGTGGGGCTGGAGTTGTATAGAAACGCATACATGCACAACAAATGTAAATACTCAGGTTTTTTTTTGTAACTTATCAGTCAAGACATATCACTTACTGCGGTTTGCATTCGAAACAATCCATTTCTTTTTTCCCAGATTAATTGTTCTTAATGAAAGGCATGTACTGAAAATATAAAATAAAATCAATGATGTTGGTTTCATGTTATATGTACAATATTATAGACGTCTCGCTGTCAGCATAGAAGACTGTGAATTAGTAGTAGTCTATAAATAGAGAATGACATTCAGTTTTGATAAGCATGTTGATTGATCCTTATAGATTACGGTTCATAAATTATTCAACTCTTGGTAAACAGAAAACAGAAAGTGAGATTTTTTTTCATATTGGAAACTGTTCTACTATTTAGAAATGAAAAGTTTGCGCAGTGTTATCACAGGTGGCGAGGTGGGGAGTAAATTTACATTTTTTTTTCAATGGCCGAGTGTTTATTTTTCCAAATGTTGCAAGTTTTGTAATTTAGAAAATGATAAATTGCACACGTCTAAAAATACACCTCCGCCGGCCGATAGTTCGGTTCCAACATATGATATGTACAATACAATGATGAAGAAAAATTATATTATTTAAACAATATCTTATTTCAACCCTAAAAAGTTAAAACTTTTGACTTTCAAAGAAGCGAATAGCAGAAAAAGCTTTGAAATCGATATAAACGAAAATTAAATTAATAATGTAGCAAATAAAAATATAAAATTGACGCAGAAAAAAAGCATTGCATAAACTGTAAAACCGAATTATCTAGTATGATTACTAAATTTTATTAGTAATTTTGATTTTATGGCATCTTTGACACTTTCTTATTGTTCACGTGGCATTTTAAAGCTAAGAAAAGTTTTTTTAAAGCGTAAAGGATGCCGAAATTCGGGCGCATAAGCAAACAACTATGTATATTAAACTTTAGTTTTTTAAGCACAAAATACAAAAGATTATTGTAATTTATGCTTTTATATTGTCCAATGCGTAATATTTTTTTAAATTACTACGATTTACAAATAAAAAACAATACGTGAGGCAAAAAAGGCAAGCATCCGAAAGGGATGGACTCCCGGTTGCATTCGGCCCGTATAAAGCAACACGTATTGAATGTAATAAAGTTCTTGTGAATTCCAGTCGGTGAAAAAATGCATGTAATAAAATAAAAATAAAATGTAATATATCCTGAAATTATCACTAGTAAACAAATAAAATGCAGATCGTTAGAAGCGGGGTTGAATTTTGCGAGGAAATGCTTTAAACTTATAAATTTTTGGGAAAATACGTTTTCCGACGAAACCGATTCAATTTGATTGGATTTGATAGGATGCAAGAAAAATGAAAATTTTATTTCAAAACACGAAATTTATTAGCAACCGTTAAACACGTTTTGGCAAAGTTCTTCATAACAATGGAGTAGGGATCAAGAACGCCGAATTCAAGAGGGTCGGTTTTCGGTTATTTTTCGAGAAAATCCCCCAACATATGGTTAAAAAAAGAGTGGCGGTCAATTGTTAACAATTCCACAATTCTAGCCGTTTGAATTAACAATCTAATTGGTTAAGTAAACATTATATATAGCCTGAATCACACATTAAAAGAATTTAAAATTTGTCAACTGAAACTATCACGATATGCAATTTTTTTCTTCTGGTCTTGCCTGGAAGAGTTTGTTTTGTTGTTTCATATTCTACAAATGTAAAAAAAAAGAAAAAAGGACAACAATCTTTCAAACTCTTCCAATGGACAAAATTGGTAAGAATGGACAAACCAAGAGGATCAGAGTCGATCAAGCTACAGATTTATCTCCACGCAGACCTCACTATATTTCTCTAAAATTGATTTAGATCAATTTAAATCTCCACTTGCATTTATATACGCACTTAGAGAAGAGTAAAGCCTATCACTTATTACAACCCGCCGGCAATTCCAGCATTTGTAATTTACAATGAATCACCGGCAGGCATCGAGAATGGTGTTGGCAGTTTGGGGACAGATGTCAGTTTTAAATGTCCAGCCGCCGAGGCTATCAACACCTAGGTCATTTCAGCCCTCAACACAATCAGTTACTGAATTAATTCACATTCTTAAATACATAATTACTTATTTACATACCATTCACTCAGTTAGGGTAGTTTAGTACTTGATGTGTAATATTTAATTAATGATTATTTAGAGATCATCAGATGCGGTCTAGTATGATGTAGGTTTAGAAAAACATTTTATCGTGCCAACGTCTCGAACTTTATTGAGATCATCTTCTGGGATTTATAAACATTTTTTAAATTATACAAATAAATATAAGGTATGACTATGAATTTGTACAACGATAAATTACACTTTGAGCGAGTTCAAATACTTTGATTAATCCTAAAATTTCTATATTGTGTACTCCATTGTATAAATTCATTGTCATATCTTATATCTATTTGTATAATATAATCATTGTTTATAAACTCCAGGCCTTGAAGATGATTTCAATAAAAATCAAAACGGCGCAATAAAGAAAATGTTTTTCTAAACTTACATCACACCAGGCCACATTTAACTATCTCTAAATAATTAGTACTCGATATTCCTATATCACCTTTTACACCTATTATTTAACTAACCTAACTGGATGTAGGTAGGTTACTCCCATCATCGACCTCTCACACTACACATTCACACTAATAAATACATTCACTCTCAACACGTTAGAGACAAAACTATGTAAAGTAACGATAATTAAATGCAGGGGCCCAGATTCTTGCTGCCTTGCTCAAGCATAACAGAAACAGGTGGCATCCTTACACACTCTCTATATGGAGCCAAGGAATTAGGTAGGATATATCGAGCAATACTCTGTATTTCGGTCACATTTTTCTAAAACTACAGCTGAGGTACTTATATACAATACTTTTTCTAAGCACATAACAGCTATTAATTTTTCAATTTTTATTGTAAAAACAATGTTAAGGTTTAATACATAAATATCTTTAAAAAAAAAAAAAAAAAAAAAAAAAAAAAAAATTGCGGTGTGCAAATACTTTATACCACCACTGTATATGTTCCCAGCCTTTTTTAATGCTTCACCATTACTTTTGTTTTTCATTATGTATATGAAAAATGTTTTTAATAATTCGTTTCTTTTTCCTTTATATTTTAATATGTTGATATTGCTATCTTAATTGGTATATAATTTATAATTTCAATGAAAACAAGACTGGTCAGCCTATGGAGTGTTAATGGAACATAATTTTATTGCCTTTCTTTATCATATTATATAAATCAATATTTCACTTCTCATTTAATGAATCAGCAAAAGTGCTGGTGACATTTCATTTCCTGATAGTTTGGTTTGTATTTGATTGGTTTTCATACACCTATTATACTGGATGCTGGAACCAATCTGCCACGTACTAACCAACCTTTTATATAATCTTTTCACAAAATTAATTAATATAATTATTTTGTTAAATGAACATAATTTAATTTCAAACATCTACAATACAAAAGGTGTTTCAATCCTGGAAACATGTTTTATTTTACATTGAACATTTACGTGTTTTACTGTCAAATGGGTAGGAATGAATTAATCGGACAGAGGACAAATCATCATTAAGGCCAGTAATAAATTTCATTACAAGTATGTTTTCATTTTGTTGTAATGAAAACAAAGTCATGCCAACGTACACATCGATTAGGTTGAAGGATGGTCATGCGCATGAAATAAAACTAAATGGGAATTTGGTTGTAAATTGTATAAATATATTTTCTATAAGAATTCGTATATTCATAGATTTACAATTTTGTGTTTACAGAACCAATTTATATCTGGATTAAATTTAAAAATAAGCATTTCGTACTAACAAGTTGTTTTAAAAAATGATACATAACTAAAAGCTTTATTAAAAATATATTCATACAAAATTGAATTCTGTACATAAATTTAAATACAAAAATTCTTAAATGCTGCAGGGCAATTTAACTATCCAGTAGTCCAATTTTTTTATACATATACAAAATTTAAATTAAATAGGGTATACAGAGATGAAATGTAACAGATAATTTGCTTACCACCCTGCATTGATAAAGAAACTTGAGTAAATAAAGCCTTATAAAATAACAGCCACTATCTTTAAACCCTCTAACTTATTTACTTCTGTGTGTTGTCATTTACTATTTCAATATCAATCACTTTGACGCTCGTTAGAGCGACTGGTTCATCGTTCACTCAAGCTGATCACGTATTTCAGTTGATTTAATATGTCTTTATTTCAACATAGGAACTTAAAAGCCATGAATGGTATAAGAAAACCGAAACGAAAATTTTATTAAGTTTTGTCTGCATTATATATTACAATTTAGGGATTGAGGAATGGGATGAGGAAGAGGTAAGGGGATGGTTAGAACATGATGGCAACTGATACAAAAACAAAAGCAACACACATTTACAATATTCAAAGGATAGGCGTTGAATGACGTAGACAGAGGAAAACATCAAAAATACAGATTTTGAAAATTTAAAAGAAAGTTAGTCCGTTTTGGGATTGTGTTCGGGCAGAGGAAATTTCGAATATGGATGGAGGGCAAATTTTTAATTGGTCCTCAGTCCAGGAATGGCAAGGAGTACCCGTCTTGATTGTCCTTTTGAAGAATAAGTCAAACGAGAAGGGGTCAGAGAATTGAACAGCGAGACAACCAATTTGTAGGCTTCCTATTTGGTTCAATCGCTTTTAACTGGTGCCCTCCTTTTGGTGGATTACTCGCTTCCTAGAACACAATCATTAAATTCATTTTACACAAGAAAAAATCTCTATTTATTGCTTAGCACCATTAAATAAACACTGCTAAATAAAATGCACATAAAATAGTTTTGTTAGTTCTTTTAATCAAATTCAATCTGGTCCTTCAAATCTTCATTTTTTCAACTTTAAAAATATCTTTTTAAATGACAATTTTGAAACCATCATAATTCTTACCATCACCGATTGATATCTGCAAACAAAAATCTGCCGATGTACTATTACACCGTTTTAAGTATTTTCAAGTTACACAAAATACATAAATAACATAAGAATTAATCTTGTCGTTAAAACAACTTTCCAGTCTGTGAGGTTTTTATTTTGTCTTAATGGGACAGACTTTGTACGCTGGCGTGAGATCGTATCATAAAATCCTACTATTTTCAAAGTAAACACTTTGTGAACACAGTAAGTTTATACATATATTTATTACCTGAAATGTATTTTATTTTGCAATACATTTACCTTTTAACATTAAAAATTGGAAAAGAAAAACCTTTAGTATCTTTTTATATCTATTAATTATGCTATATATCATACACAATCAAATCTGCTTATTCTTCTTGCAAGTCTTCACCAAACAAGGATGAAATACCATGACAATGCAGAAACTACTGGTTATACTGCCCTCTCTATTTAATTTAATTTTTTTTTGTTTCCCTCTTACAACAGTATTTATTTGAATATAACACAAGTAAAATTTTGACTGAGTAAGTTTTAAAAATTAAAAACACAATATATACATATATAATTAATTTAGTTAATTCTCAAATTATACCAGTATTTTACTTAGTTGAGTATAGTGCATTTTAATAGAAAGAAGCAAACATTATAAAAATTGTTTTATTTTTGTAATAATTGAAACAATTAAATAAATATTTCTATTGTACAAAAATATAAAAAATATGTATAATAAAAATTATTTGTAATCGTAGAACTACAAATTTTTACCAAAACCAACTTTTGATTTAAAAATTTTAAAAACAAGTTAAACGTTTTTTCTATGGTAACCAATTTATCAAGGATCATACAAATTGTAGATGGAAGTAAAGCCTATATACAAACTGGCTCGGGAAACTTTTATAAGTCTACATTTCTGTCTAAGCTACCATCAAAACAAAGAGAACTACAAATAAATATTTAACACAAACTTCAAGTAAAACTTGTAAATTCATGCAAAAATATGAATTTCTAAAACATGCTATTTCACAAAAAAAACAAAAAAAAACATTTATCTAAATAAAATCTATTTTACACTTGACATGCAAACTTTTTTATGTATATAAATAATATTTGTTTAACAATGGAAAAAAAAGTATAAACAGCAATCATGCTAAACAAATAGTTGAAAGTACACAAACATGCCTTGACATGTTCATATTTACCTTCTGCTCAATTGAAAATCCAATAAAGACGAGTAGAAAAACAAAAGAAGAAAAATAATGTTAATTTCAGTAACAAGAATTCTTATATATTGTACAATAAATCATGTTAATATTAATTGACATGGAAGTGAAAATTCACTTAAATTTAGCTAAATGTTGACTGATATATTATAGCATGGGTTTTTATAAGAAAGTAAATAATTTTATTCATGCTTAGACAAGCATTTTGAAAAATGTGTTTTTTATAAATACTTTAAAAAAAAAAATTTTTTTAAGGAATACAATCACGATGGGTCAAAACTGCCTTGAGTATATGAGACACTTTGATAACTCAGAAGGGCAAGGACATTTTTAAAATACACGAATAAATTATATTACTGTTAAAAGTCTACGAGAAATAAATAAATGGTAGAAAAAAAGGAATATAGCTTACCAGTTTCTTTTCTGCCTTTGCTTTGATATCCCCGGCAATGGTAAAGAAAGCTGATTCAACGTTTATCGACTCTTTTGCACTAACTTCCATAAATTTAATTCCGTACTCTATAGCAAGCTGTTCACCCCTTTCTTTTGAAACCTTTAAAAGAAAATGAAGATAATTAAAATATATATTTCTAGATAGAAAACAAAAGTAAGTAAGTAAAATTACCACTCTAACGTCGTGATCACATTTGTTACCAAGAAGCATTTTTTCAACGTCTGTTGTCGCATTTTCCTCAATATTTCTAATCCAATTCTTAATATTATCAAAACTTTTTTCGTTTGTGATGTCATAAACAAGCATAATTCCCATAGCACCTCGGTAATAAGCTGTTGTTATCGTTCGAAAACGCTCTTGACCAGCTGTGTCCCATATTTGCAGTTTTATTTTTTTACCATCTAGTTCTATTGTCCTGATTTTGAAATCAATACCTACAACAAATTAAATATTTTTTTATAAGAACAGGTTAAAAAAAGAATTTCTATCATCAGCCTTCTACAAATGACTCAATACTTAACAATCCAAAGATAACACAAAAAGTGCCTATGATACTTTTTTTTTTTTTTTGTGGACAATGGCACTTTTTTATTTATCCTTTTTTAGGTTTGCCTATATACATTTTTTGAAGGCAGCATCATATTATAAATACAATAAAATATACCGGACCAATGCCAAATTTAGGAGAAATAAAATCAACAGCTTGATCATTTATGACCATCCTGGCCTAGTTTTGCCTGTGTGTTATCGCATTTTGCCATCTTCATATGGCGAATCACTTATAAAACCCCTATTTTGCAAAACTGCAGAACACAAATTTAATTAAGCCTTTAAGCCCCAGCATATTTCAAAATTATTTTTTTCCTTCCAAGTTCTTCCTTTCTTTCTGAATATAATATTGATTATTGTTGGTGAATTGTTTTTACACGGATTTTATATGAAAAAATATGAAAGTATAAAGAATTTCAAGATATATAACATACTAGGCAGAAAGCTTGGGAAGTGAATTGATTATTTTAATCTCTCAGATAGCACCAGTAGGACATATCAAACAACTAATCTTAAGATAAATTATGACACAACGAAAGCATTATGTATGATTGTCTTTTTATAAAAACAGCTATAGATACTTTATTAGTTTTTATAAACATACAATAAGAAATAAAATGTTTCATTTCTTACACATTACATATGAGCATTTATTACTATTAAAATTACTACTATGACTAGTAAACATTGATAAAACGCCTTTCTTTATCTAATCAAATTCAATAACAATGGATCTGATCAAAGCAAATAGTTGAACACTGACATCGTTGAACATCAAAAAGGAAAATGTTTTTATGATAAAAATTCAGTATTAAATTTTTTGTTTTTTGGAAGGAATTTTATATTATTTATTTAATAATTATAACCTTATCTGGAATATCTTAATCCTGGATATTTCCTCATAGGTACATCACTTCTTCCCCCCTATAACGAGATTTTTCAACCGACCTATCCTTCTCCTTTTGTTGGCATTTGATTAATTTTGATTTTGGCATACATGATCGGCAGAGTACCTGAGCACTCTCCTTCAAAGAAATAAATGTTAATGTAAAATAGATAAGTAAAATTGAGAGGTTTTTATTAAATTAATTGGTTTTTATTAAAAATTTGAAATGCCCTCCTTTTTCATGGCCAATGGATCGTGTCGACCATGTTTTTCCTTGCAAGGATGTTGTAGAGCCGGTTGGGTTAGTTTAACAAAAATTGTCCATTCTCATTGGCCTGTAAAAAATTTAATTCCCCGATAGTTCCACTCATCCTTATTTTCAACCCCACATTAAACGTTTTCCTCACCCTTATCACTCTTCATTTATTCCTTAAGTGTTCATTTTGCCACTCTTTAATTTTGTTACAATCTCAATTTTATTTACTCTCTTCTAAATTTTAAATTTGGCCAGTGGTATGTTTAGGCCTACTGTCGTCTTTGGCCTGCAAGTTGCCAAGGGAATTTAGGTGTATGATTTTGGTTAGTCCATCTCTGTACTTGTCAGCAGCATGGCATGTTTAACACGTGCCACTAATAAAAACTTTTGGATCACTCCTAGCCTACATTTATCGACAATATATGGGCCTTTATGAATTTGGTTTTTAAAATTAAGATGAATAGGTATTTCTCCATTTTTTACCAAAGAGTGTGAAACTTGCGAATTACATTTGTCTATCATTCTTTCTCCTCAGTTCCCCTTATTTATTATCCTTAACAGTAATGACTGCAGATACCTGACATAATAAGCTAGTTGCTTGGTAGTATTGTTACAAACCTTAATTTTAAAACTTGGTGTTTACACATTAGAAACGGAAATAGTCACTCAACAAGACGGCACTTCCCGTCCAAGGTGAAGCTAACCTGGACGCAACTGATGAACAGGGAGAAAGGGCAGATTTACCTACTTATTTACTTTTTAACCACGTTATTTTGAAATTTTAATAAGGAGGTCTCTTTGGAGATGTGGAAAAAACCATTTATTTTGAAACAATCATAAAAAAGTTCAAATATCCAAAACCCATGAAGTGAAATGTGCTCAGGAAGGAACCTCTCTCACCCATAAGCTAAAGACTTGTTATGATGCGGTTCAAAAATAATCATTTTTAGCTGGATCAGTCCCTATCATTCTGGTTTTGTCTTTTAGATGAATTTTGGCTTTCTCCACTTCAAGGTTTGGCTTGGCTTGTGTGTTATTTTTGACAGTAGTATACCAATGACACATTTGCAAATATGAATATTGGTATTATCTTTTTGTTCCTTTTGAACAAATTGAAGCTACTTTGAAATTGTGAATTATTGTTTTGATATCTTTGGGTTGGCGACATTTTTACCCCTATCATATTGGTATGCCTAGTCTCGCTAGTTTGGTCTATTAGATGTGTTTGGTATTTTACCTTCCTCTTAGGTTTTTATTTCATCAGTCGTGAGGCATTCTATACCCTTACGTGTCTTTGAATATATCGGAGCCTTTTCTTTGTTTGTCCTGTCTATTGTGCTCGTTTTATTGCTGGTATGTTAGTGTCAGTATTTTCAGTTCAGTGTAAAGTGTAAATAAGTTGTCCCATGACGAATGGGTACTTTATGAATTTATATACACAAGATGTTAGATTTCATTCAATTTCTAACTTTCACAAATTTATAAAAAGATCTGACTAAACAGAATCACAGAAAGTCAGCACTGATGATGCTGAAACGCCAATACAGTGAGGATAATCAGACAAAACTGCATCTGCAACTATTCACATACTAACCATTTTTGTCTTTATTTTGTTAATGTTTAATGCTGTCCCAATTTCCAACATGGGTAGACTATAAATTTGATTAATATTTTACAATAAACGTATTGGAATAGGAAATAACTTGGATCTTATTTGACTTGATGTATTATCCAAGATCAGTTTAAAGTTATTTTGGGTATGCCAGTTAGTAATTATTAAGCAGTTATTTTATTTATCTATTTTTTTTTCAGAATTTGATGATGTTCTTTTATATGATATTTTAATTAAAAAATAATTGTGAGTATTAATCCAAGTATGTTTTAGAGGTCATAATTGACCATATTAATTATTTCAATTAATAACTTTTTTAATCTAAGGTCTTGGTTGTGGTGAAAAATGAACCGAAAAAATGAAATGAGCTGAAGGTGGTGGGCTCGAATCCCGCCCGTGACAGTCACTTTTTCATTTCAACCAAGACCTTAGATAAAAGTAATAATTAATTTGTAAGTATATTGGGTTTAAATGCAGGTCTGCTAAATTTGAACTTAGGACCTTTACCTTACAGTGATGACTGCCTCGTCAACGCTGTAACTATTGCAGCCACCGACACCCCACACATCAAAATATTAAGCTATTTACAATTACCTAGTTATATTTCATAAATGGTGTTTTTTATCACTAGGATCTGATATGAGAGTAGTACTGCCAATATATAAATTGACAAATATCATAAAAATTAATAAGTAAGTAAAAAATAGTTATGATGGGTTAATTATATTAATGCAATGGTTGAAAATTATAGTTCTACTATTTTGGGTAATCAATTATGTAAAAATTAAGATTGTTTGGCAAATCTTTTCCTGTACAATCATTAACAATGACATTGGTGGAGGTATTAACAATGTGTTTTTTTTCATGCACAAATTTGAAATTGTAATGTATGGCTACCAAGAGGGAAATGACAATGACGATGATCTGCAAATTAGGAAATTGTGAGAATTAGAAGGAAGGACTTTCAAAAAATTTAAAGTTATGTTGCTAATGATGAGTGGGACAGTCTGTAACAATGAAAATAAGGTGTGTTTTGATTATAATGATAAAATATATTTGTTGTTTTATATAAGACCGAGAGGAATACACTGAAAAAAGGAGAGAGGTCGGGGATAATACTGGAATCTACCGTCAAATGGAAATCCAAGGGCACGACGAGTCTCCGTTTGGAAAGACATTAACGAAGATTAGAAGAAAGGGCAAGCCAATTAATCGAAGATGTCAATGCTGTCACTAGGAAAATGCGACTGTATGTCATTAAAGAAAGAGCGTAACCTCAAAGAACATCAAATTGTATGGCAAAGGGCGATCGGCCGTATTTTGAAAAACCACCTCTCACGACAAATCCCCTTGAACCCGTTTAGAGTCAAATTGTTAAAAAAGCTCGTTACTTGGATTAAAATATTTACCGATAGTCGAGATGAATGTATTATTGAAGGCATCTTCGGAGAACCTGAATAGGATGCAAGTCTTCCCAACGCCAGAATCCCCAATTAGTAACAGTTTGAATAAATGGTCGTACGTTTTGGCCATACTCGGAGGGTGAATTAAGTAATAACTAAAGGGAGAATTTTAACAAGTTGTCATTTATCCTCCTTCCATGAGCCACTGGCACTTTGATCGAATCTTCAAAAAGAAAGCAGTGTGATTTTTTTAACGCTGCCCGCAGACTTAGAGAGCCTTTATAGAGACGGCTCATAAGCGCGCTCTGAGAAGAGGCGCCTCCGACTTAAGCAAAGGATTATGATTTAAACTTCAAGGATCGTTTCTTCACTTCTCCATGTACTTGTACTAATCCAAGGTGCTACATCACTGGAAAAATACACACGAATAACTAATGAAGATAAAGAAAAACAAAATAAAATGCTTAAACAGCAACAATGACCGACTAAATCTACTAGTAGAAAAAACAAAACAATTTATTTATGTATATTAAACTATTGAATAAAAAGTACTCATCTGTTCATGTATCACGAAAGTAAAGTTAACACAATTTTTTAAACATTTGTGCTATGTTCATTATTGCTTTCAATTAATTAATTCTTTTATGGAACGTTTTGGTTGAAATGAAAAAGTGCCACGAACGGGATTCGAATCCCCTCGAACCTTCGGCTAATACACCGCTGTTCTACCCCACTTGAGCTATCGTTACTTCGATCCACTCGGACTAATTTGGCTAATTTTTTTCTTCTTAGGATCAAAAGTAATATTTGGGGTTAATAATGAGGTGCCTAAATCTCATTTAGTGGACTTGTACTGCATCTTAACTTTTTTGTCTGCATCTTCTTTAGTGACTTATACTGCATGTAAACGTTTTGTCTGCATCTCCTTTAGTGACTTATACTGCAACTTTTTTGTCTGCATCTCCTTTAGTGACTTATACTGCAAGTACACTTTTTTGTCTGCATCTCCTTTAGTGACTAAAAGTGAATCTACACTTTTTTGTCTGCATCTTCTTTAGTGACTTATACTGCATGTAAACGTTTTGTCTGCATCTCCTTTAGTGACTTATACTGCATGTACACTTTTTTTTCTGCATCTCCTTTAGTGACTTATACTGCATGTACACTTTTTCGTGTGCATCTCCTCAGCGGCGTGGGAGACAAAACTTCTGTAATCCAGGCTAAACCATGGTCCAGTTTTTTTTTGGTGAAATTTAAAGGAATTAAACTCGTTGAATTTGTTCCAGAAGGGTTTTGTCGATTTTGTGCTCAATTCAGAACGGTCATACCTTTTGGTGAATAGGAGGAAAGTTATGTCTTAATAAAACAACAATTCCCGACATACAATGCAAAAACTTTCTGAATTGGATGGGATCGAGCTTTTATCGCCCGATCCTTTTGCGTACCTTGTTCGTTCTGACTACCTCGGCTACCGACCATTGGTCCATTTTCTAAAGGCAGAGACATTTCACACGTTGAAAGATGTAAAAACCGAATACGACTTTTAATCAAAATCCAAGGAGTGGCACTGCCACGGAATTAATAAGGGAGCAGCTGGCCTCTAGATTGCAATTGCCAAAGAGTACGAAAGGCTATTGATGCTCGCTCGATTGAAAACAATTTGCTGGAAATATAAACAAATTCAATTCTATATCTTGCTTCTGTAATTATTTGTAATCGCCGATTAAAAATAATTATTAAAAAACAAAATTAAAAGCGCCGTAAATTCATTCATCGGAATTCAAAAAGAGAAAGCTATAATCGGATTTTACTTTCATTTTTTAATTTTGATTAATTCTTATTTATATTATACCATCTGAAAGCTCTTTGCAGAAAAAACACAACAAACATAAGTAGTTAATTTTTTTTAGAATGCTTTACTAATGCAATGAATCAAAATTATAATATTAATATTTCAACCACGAATGGAATGGCTTTACTAATGTTAGTAAATAGCTTTAAATTGTGAATGAGGATCTCATTCGTTACAAATATGTTATTACAGTATATGATTATAAGTAGAATGTAAAAATTCATTCAACGTTTTTCCCCCGAACTAAAATTACGATGTGTCATTAATCTACGAATTTTGTTATGCGTTTTAGTTTAAAATTACATAAAATTGTATCAACACCTTATCAAAAGAACCCTGTTAATAAAATAAATATGCTAAGATGAAGTGAGTGTATAAATTGAATAGCTGAAAAGGATAGTTTTACTCACAAACTTTTTTTTTGCAGTTTGGGTGCAGTTTTCTACAAAAACAGTTTGTAAGTAAAACTAACCTTTTCAACTACTGAACACTGTTTGTTGCGAAATGCCTGCGGAGTTGAAGAATCTGTAGGTCGATCGACTTATTTTTTCTTGATATCAGACGCATTTCCTCAACTATCTCTTTTTTTCTGTTCGTTATTCTTGTCCTGTTGTAGCTTGCACAGTATGATCGTTTGGGTTGTATTACCGGTTTTGTTCTTTTTGTGCAAAATAAAACCACTTTGAATTTTTGAGTTATTGAGTTGTGTGAATTGGTGAAATTAGTCGGACGTCTAAGTCTAAGAGTCAGCACTGAAAATGCCGAAAAGTTAAAACAGCGAGGAGACAGGCAAAACTGCAACTGTTATGTTTTCCAACAGTGCCATGCGATGATTCCACTCTTTCCTTACCTGCCGTTTCCGAGCAGAGACTTCTCCCAATGGATACACATCCTCCTTCCTTCCTTTATCTTCTGGTGTTCCCCCTCTTGTATTCAGTATTAACATCAATGATCTCCTCGACTCCATTCAGCACTGCGACTACCACCTCTATGCCCACGACTTCCAAATTTGTAGGTCATTCCATCCCTCCGATCTACACTTGGCTATCCCCAGAATTAAGGAAGATTTGAATTCTGTAAACAAATGGGCATATAAAAACAACCTAGAATTAAATGCTAGAAGGTCCAAAGCCATTGTTATAGGATCTTGTCACCTTCTCAAATACCTCCCTCATCCCACTTTTCACCATGAACAACCATCCTATCTCCTTCTGCTCCACAGTTAAAAGCTCGGAGTTACCTTCAACCGAAACCTTTCCTGGGAACCACATATTTCCAAAATTTCTCGACGCTGGATTGGAACCCCATTCAATTCCGCCGGTCCTGGCTCCTCCCTTTCACCACTCGTAAACTCCTTGTCTCCTACCTCACCTCGCCCTCTTTGATTACAGCTGTGTCGCTTATGGTGCGTTTTTGGAGGAACAAGAAGATCGTCTGAAAAGACTGATGAATTTTTGTGTCAGAGTTATTTTCTGCACCCCCTGAATTTCTAGAGTCTCACACCTCTATTCAGATCTATCCTGGCTTTATCCCTCCTTCCGTAGAAAGTATTTCTTATGCTCCTACCTTTACCAGTCCATAAATCTCGACAACATCACTTTATTTGCAAGCTACTTTAGTTCAAAGTCTCTATCTACCCTCTTAACACCCGCTCGTTTCCCAATGAACTATATCTTCCTCGTCATAAAACCTCCATATTGGAAAGGTCGTTCTTAGCTCGAGCCACAAATCTCGGAATTCTCTTCCTTTGACAATCCGCAAAGCTGCCTCCCTTACCTCTTTTAAATCCCTCCTATACCAACACCTCATCTCCTTCCAAACAGAGACAACATAGTTCACAATATTATACACATTACACTAGAAAACTTGTTACCTTCCTTTTCAATTTACAGTTTGTGATTATCTTCGGAAAAGACAGAGAATTCTGTATTATTAATATTTTTCCATAAATCCTTAATATTGCTTCTATTATTATTATTATTATTATTAATTTTTAAGGGCGTTTTAACGGCTAAGGTCATTTCACGCCCTTATTGCTTCTATTATTTCTATTTTTATATTTTGTATTATGTGATTTAGTTCAACATTTTTTATTTGATGTTAATGCTAAACCATTATTAATTTAAGTGCCAGATTTGTAAAAGTTTTTGTGACCTTTTGGTTATTCTTAGAGGACTCTAGAACCAGAGTAAAATATCGTGCAAAATGAAGCAAATCTCAAAGGCAAGGTGACAAACGCTTGCAAAACGCAATGCACAGGTGGCATATATTTCAGAAGCTTTTATACCAAAGTAATTTCGCAAATAACCAAGTTATAGCAATTTGGACGTATAGGACACACTGTTACATGCACGGTTTTGTTCCTTTATTTCATCCGGGAAAAATATGGTAAATATTTAAGAACAATCAACCAAACGACATGTCATGCAACCCAACTAATGTTTGTAATTGAAAAAGCCAAATCGATTCATAGTAAAACAAACATTACTGTTTAGTAAGAGATAGGTAATGAAGCTCATCAAAACATATTTTAACAATGGTCAAATTATTATTAGATTTGAAAAAATCAATACATAACAAAATGAATTAGCCTTGCGATCACTCCTATGATGTAACCCTCATAATTATATACACACCAATAAAATTTATAAATATAATAAATGGATATGGAAGAGTTTATACATTATAATGGTTATGAAGATCAGGGTGAGGTCATCAACACGAACAAAACACTTCTTTTATGCCTAGTTTGTTTCATTTGATATTTTTTTGCGTATATACACCTTTTGAGTAAGTGATTTCACATTAAATTATTATAATTATTATTAATCAGTTTTGTATATTTTACATATATTTTTATGAGTTTAAATTTAATTTATAATAAGCCTTGATGACGTTGAAATATATCAACAAAAGTTTTGCATAAAAGGAATTTTGTCCATGCTGATGCCTCATCCTGATCCTCATAAACATTACCTTTAATGAAGATCGATCTCGTATAACAGCTTTATTTTTATACATTATGTTTAGTAAAATAAGTTGTACTTTTAACAAAATATTTCCCTAAAAATAGTAAATTGATAAAATTGCGTACATGGAATTGTTTTTGTTTTGTCTAAAATAAACATTTTATAGCCCTAAGAGCGTAATACATGGTTATACAGTTCGGCATCACCCTAAGGTAATCACGGTTTAGCCTAGACACGACGCCGTGTTGAATAACAAAATTCAAGACAACCGTATGAAAAGAATAAACTGATAAAATCGTATATATAAATTGAATAAGTAAAGGGCGAAATAAACCGCCTATCTCCAAATAATTCACATGAAAATTTAAATCTCAGCAAAGCCTAGAACGGCGTTGACCCGGAAGAACTAATTATTACTAATTTTGTACAATTCGGAAACAATTTAATGGATTTGCCTAACGATAATCCTTACAATTGTAATCACACCAACAAAATTGCTAAAAATATTAAATTGATGTATTTTTTATAGAAGCTATTATACATAATGTTTTTATTCATATTACATATAAAAAATATAGCCCAATATAAACTTGAATTCTATTGTCCGTTGGTGTAGGTTAAATAGTATTACAATTAATTAAGGTTTTTAGTTGAGATGAAAAAAAGTTAATGGCACGAGAGGGATTCGAACCCACGACCTTCGGCTAGATACACCGCTGCT